GCCTGGAAAAATTATGGATGTGGAAAGTGAGAAGATATGAGAGGTCATGTGTAACAAATATAAAAATTGTTTTCTGTTTTCCCAAGAGTTAGTAGAAGAGTCAAATACCTCCTTAGGGAGCTGGGCCACAGGGTGAGAGTTAATCTAGGATCTGTTAAAGTACACCTGACTCCACCTTTGGAAGAATGGTTTGTATTCACCCCCAAACCAATGGGGCTCATATTGTTTCTATTTCTAATCCCAAGAGCCCCTTCAATGTACTATTTGTTCATTGACATCCTCTATCAGAAGGGTGACAGTGAATAAGGAATTGATTTAAAGTTCATAAATGTCAATTTGAATTAATAGGTTTCATTAAAGTATCTTATTTTTATACCTAATCAATGTGTCTTATCACCTTTTGTTCTTGGCTCTGGCAAAATTAACCTAAACCAAGTTGTTCATTCACCTTATTCGGGAAAATAATCTGAAACTTCAGCAATTAGAGATGGATAGATTGTTTGTTTGTTTGTTTGTTTGTTTCCCTCCATCATCACAATATCCAGAACAAATTGCATGTTGCAGTGAGCACAGGCATATATTAACAAGCAGTTGTAACATCAGTCCTGCATCTTTTCTGTCCCCACGCTCTGATCTTGATGCTCTGACAAGTGTCTTGCATGAAAGGCTCACTCTGGGGTAAATGTAATGTTATTTTAAACTGCAGGAAATAGACACCACATACTCCACATACTGAAATACTTCAAAGAAAATTGTAATACAGGCAGTCTAACAGCGAAACATCAGGCACTCAATAGGTATCTGTTGAATGAATAAATAAAAAGAACCATGCACATTGATAGAAAGTATGAAACATCTCCTATGGAATTTCCTAATCATTCTCGAAAGACAAACTTAAGGGCCAATGGAGTCTACCTTCATTCATAGGATTTGGCAGAAGTCTCTCAACTAAATGAATAGTCAACTCTGACTGATAACCGATTGAGGGAAGATGAGATGAACTCAAGAACCGTGTCCCTGCACTGCCCACAGCGTCTCCCGCCACCCCCAGAGCTGCGTACACAGGCCGCGCTCAGCTCACTTACAATAACGGGAACACCACATTCTAGCAAGAGGCCAGGGCATATTCAACATTGGAGTCACAGACTAATAATAATAAGGTGAACAACTAGCTTTCAGAGAATCTTCACATATTCTATTGATTTCTTAGGAATGCATTATTTTGTTTATTCAAATAGTTTCCTCTGTCGCCTATTAGCAATATTAAAAGAAAATAAATGAGACTTTTCTCCCCCGTTTTAATGTAGGTCCTTCCTACTTTTTTTTTTTATGTCCTTGTATTTTGTTTGTTCTTTTCTTTTCCCCAAGGGGCACCTAATGCTTCCAAGGATCTCTTAGTCAGCACGTGAGAGTGAAATGACTTTTAGCAGAGGGAGTGATCAGTTAATACTCAATGCCATGCTTTAATTCAAAGCACTTTCCTAATGTTTTTAACCATGCCTTTGTGAAAGTTCCATTTGGGAATCTTTTCTGTGAAAACTAGATGTGCTTTTTCAGTGCCAGAGATGACAAAGGTTATATTAATGTACCCAGCTGTTTCCCACATGCTGGGCTGAGAGAGGACAGTGTCCAGCTTCCTTCCCCTGCTGATCCCTCCCTTGTATTCTTATCTCTCTCCCCCTAGACCCCCACAATGACAGGCCCTGGCTTGGTCTCAGTGACCTGGGTAAACTGCCATGAAGCAGGTTTTGATAAGAGACAGGATGTGCGATGGTTCCTATCAAACAAAATTGGATTCCAAATGCACCATTCCCTCCTACACGCCAGGCATAGCACTTAATGCGTGCACAGGACTGTCTCATCAATTTCACCATTACCTGTTTAAAAAAATGCATCAACAAGCCGTGAAAAAAATTTGAAAAGATAAAGAAATTCTCTATGATCAAATTACCAGATGGGGTGATGTTAGTAAAGAGCTGGTAAAGTTTTCTTTTGTTTTTTTTTGTTTTTTTTTTTTGGCATCTCTTTTTCTTGACTTCTCAGCACTATGTCTCAGATTGACAGATAGACACACAGACAAACAGATAACTACAGAGATATGTAAATTTGCATAATGTTTTAAGCTGAATAATTGTCTTCCAAAAAGTCCGTGCCCAAATTTCTAGATAGTGATTAGATGATGGTACGTGTTACTTATATTAAAGGGACTTGAAGACATTGTTTAGGGTTACAAACCTTAAAATGGGTAAATCATACCAGATTATCTGGATAGGCCCACGCTGCTCACATGAGCCTTTAAAAGCAGAGCATTTTCTCTGGCTGGTGTTCCAGAAATATGGTGAAAGAAGAAGGCAGCAGGGGAAGTCAGGAGGCTTCCAAGCACGAGAAGGATTCAACTCCAGCGTGCCGACGCTGGCTCTGTGATGCAGGGGCCGCAAGGGAGGATCCCTGGGCGGGGGGCTTTAGGACCTACGGCCAACCTCCAGCTGACAGAGAACAAGGGAATGGGAACCTCAGATCGAAATTTGGCAAATGGTCTAAATAAAGTGAGAAATGGGTTCTTTTTCACTGCTTCATATAAGGATATGCTGACATTGATTGTAACCTGGAGAGTGTTAACCCTGCAACCTAAGGAGTAATGGTACAGAATTGTAGTAGGTAACTGCACTTTGACCCCCAAAGCAGACACACTTTCATTCCAAACCTAAATCTGAAAATGAACAAATATCTTAAGTACACCTTATACCTTCAATACTTAGTGATCTGTATATACCCCATTTTCTCTTCACTCATGAAATCCACATTATGATCATCTTTTGGCTAAAAGAGTAGGCATGGACAACAATGTGGTGATTGCTAGAGGGAGAGGGGTATAAGGAAACTAAATGATAATGGAAAAAATATAATAAAGGTTAATTTAAAAAAATAAATAAATGGTCCTGGCTGGTGTGACTCAGTGAATTGAGTGCTGGCCTGAGAACTGAAAGATTGTTGGCTCAATTCCCCGTCAGGGCACACGCCTGGGTTGTGAGCCAGGTCCCCAGTAGAGGGCGTGTGAGAGGCAACCACACATTGATGTTTCTTTCCTTCTCTCCCCTCTCTCTAAAAATAAGTAAATAAAATCTTTAAAAAACAAATAAATAAAAAGAAAAAATGCATGTAAATTTAAAAAGAAAATAAAAAGGAAGTCATACTGTTTTTCTTTTATAGAGATTTTTTAAGTGAAGAAAAAACATGCAAATGAAAACTTGATAGTGACTTTAAAAATCGACACATAGCAACATTGCTGTTGAAGCACATCAGCAACAGCATTATGATGTGAAATTATCTGTGTGCACTTTGACCGCTCTTCCCCTGAGTGTGTACATCTTCTTCTAATACAGGTGAACCCAGGCACATATCACATGTAACAAACCTCACCTCAGGGAAATCAAAGTTCCGGAAATGTGTAGTGGAAATTAAAACATCTTAGAGGTCCTGATGAAGAATTTTTCCAGCCACTGTCATTGATGTTAAGACAACTGAACTAAGCTGTGAGGTTCTGGTCAGGGAGTAAGCACAGCCAGGGGTGGGTTTGGGTCCCATCTGAGAGTTCACTGTCCTAACAGTACACAAGTTCTGAATCAGACTCAAAACACGTGCCAGGCTGTCCCTGCAGCTCAGAGGTCACCAGCTGCCCGCAGCTGGAATGTGTAGGCTGGAGGGGAGCAAGGAAGAGAGAGCAAACTCTGGAATGTCGTGGGGCCCGGAGGACGCCTGCAATTGGCGTGGCAAACACTTTGTCACTGACACTCTGGAGGCAGCTGACTTGCTATAATTCTCCAAACGAAGCTGGACAAATTCGAAAGGTAGTACTAAGAATAATTAAGGCCACTGAGGATTAATTTTCTACAGAGAGATTACAGGAATGTTACACATGTTGCTTAGTTATGCAAACAGGAAACAAGAACATGAAAAATATCGATAACTACCTAAAAGGCCTACATTATTGGGAAGGACATAGGAACTTTAAATAATAAACAAAATGTGATAATATGGCACCATGTACCCGAGTAAAGTTAAAATTAATAAATATAAGAAACTACATCATTTCAAAGTTAAAACTAGCACAAAAGCTACACAAAATATTGGCACTATATCCTCCTATTAAGGAAAAGCATAGAGTCTTTAGGTTTTAGTGTCTCTGATGTAGTAAAGGAGATAAACATAATGCTGCTTTTGAGGCTAACCGACTCTGTGTGGGTACTTGTACGTGTATACTCAGCAGCTTCTTGAGTAAACCAGAATGCGTTTTGGGATAAAGCTGATTCATTGCGCCCACAGATACTCAGAGAACACACTTGGTTATTTCCAGACAAGCTGAAAGCTGGCTCTATCAATTGACATCAACATCTTCAAAAGCTACTGCTGAGAAGGAGATCGTGCGTGCTTCGAAAAGGTGGGCTTCATCGATTCCCACCCCCAGAACTGCATGGCAAAGCAGATTCATTTCCCTCTTCATTCTGCTCCAATGCTAAGTTCCTCATCTGAGTGGTAAAGTGGAGGATCGGTCTATGCAAACATTTATTTTCCCCCTGACTTTTTGCAATTTTTTCAACATAGAAGAGAACAGACACGGTAAGGTTGGACAACCAAACCCAGAAGTGAGTTCCCACCACAAAGCAAAATTGCATGACCACAGGTTCAGAAAAAAGTTTTGACCTCTTACCCCCTCCTCCCAAGAGTATGAGTCCATTGGTTATGTCATAAGCTATTAAGGAACACTGTGGTTGTTTTTTTTTGGGTAATCTGTTCCTAAGAACTTGCAAAATGATCCTGAAAATAGAATACCACACATTATTTAAACTCCAGGAAAACAGATTCTGGCTTTGAAGTAAAGATAGAAGAAGAATTGACTTTTATGTATATAAATGTTTTTATGGGAATTTATAAAAATGTTGTCTCTCAATAACATCGGGTTTCTTTTTTTAATGTTTTGAGTTTCTTTTTTTTTTTCTAGCTCGGGGAGAGGGTACACATGGTCCCCCACCACCACAAATTATGCGGTCGAGTTTCCCATATTTGGGGAAATCGCAGGGGTCCACACATCCAGGGTGCAATGGATATGGCTTCCCTGGGAAAATCACCTTAGTGATCACGACATCTCCCCAGCCAGGTAAGTACTGTTCTGAGTTTCTATAGTTGACACTATACGCCAGTTATATAATACCTGTCCTACTTGCAGGACAGCCTTCGGTTCAGGAGCTCTGGGCTACATAGCCAATACAGAAGAATGTTATGTTAAATTGAGCATGGTGTTAATCTGGGGGATTCCACATCCTTCCTCAGAACATCGCTGTTCTGGAGAAGAGAACAATATCCAATCAATGAAAACATGGACAATTTCAAGCAGTGAAACTACAATGTGTGACTCACTGCATAGGTTCTCAGTATGACTTACCATCTCTTGTACTCACCTTACCCTGTATTCATATTTTATTCCCTTCTGCTTCATCTCAAAAGTTCATCTTATCATGACACATGGGTTTTTAAAAACAAAGCTAAGGTCTTTCTAAAGAAATACCTTGTTTCAGCATCAAAAATACATATTGTGATTTGGTCAGAATTTCACTGTTATGTCAAAATAGTCTTAACCGGAAACAGAAAAAAAAAAATGGAACACATAAGATCTTCCCTTACTCTGAAGTATGAGCCTTATTACATTGTCCCTCCTTCCCTCTCTCACTCCACAAAGTTCTCGACCTCCTTGAAGGTAGCAACTGACTCTTTCTGCCCCCTGATTGCACCTGGCCCGGAGTTTGTCAGTTGCTTCCTTTTCAAAGACCTGAACGTTTTTGCATAATTCTTGAAACATAACATTTTTTGTACTTTTAAGTTACTTTTATCACTTAATTAAAATATGAAACTGAAAAATATTAAACTGAAATATGCTGTACTGAAATATTTTAAGGCCTTTTTTAACGACTCTCCTTCTGTTTACTTGACATTGATCTTGTTGTTTTCCATTTTGGGTGTATGTGTTTTGTCCTCCACAGCATGCATATGCTACCACCCTTCTCAAATGCCCCGGTCTCTACTTTCTTTAGAGAATTTTGAATATTATGTGTTTATACATGTGAGTCATCACAATTACCATAGGTTAATGTCCAAGGAACACATAATCAGGCTAAAGCTCTTCAAATTAAAATTATAATTCTAATATTAGAACTCATTTCCCTCATATACTAAAATTTCTGGAAGAAGAAAAAGCTGAGTACATCATTATTCCAGCGAACTTTTACTGTTTTCCAAGCTTGTTCTTAGAAGATTTGCCAAAGACATTTTGGATCAAAGTTTGCTAATTACTTTTTGAAGGCTGGGTCAGTTTAGTAAAGCTTAAAGCATACTGAAATGCAGCATGTTTGCTGAATTTGGTCAAACCACTTAACTGGTTTGGACTTCCATTTCCTTTTTGGTAAAATAAAGAATGAGGTTTCTGACCCTTTTTAATAAATAAAAGATGCTCTGAGTTATTAAAGTAAGGCCATATTCTTTAAAGTACTTTTTCTTTGGAAGTTATTTTAAATATATAGCATTTATTTCAGTATAAAATGTGCCAAATAACATTGTTACTATCTTTCAGTGTTAATCATAATGACAGATAATTATTTAATTATAAAATTATGCACAGAGATTGAATCAAGTTGAACACACTTTTTGAAAAGAGGTACACTATTAATTCCGGAAGTCTGATAAAAAATCCTACCTAAAACAAAGAGAATTCCAAATATAACCACAGTTCACCCAGAAATCTTGGAGTGCTAGGAACCCTACCCAATTAATAACATAGGTTGGTGGTATAGAAGAAGGTGAATAATTTCCTTCCCTAAATTCCAGTTGAAAAGTAATATGGGTGATTGTTAGTAGATGAGGACATTTCAAAAATATATGAAATCAGCTCTCTACTTTTAAAAGTGTAATTACAATATACCAGGGTTAGGAAAACAACCATGCACGATAAGATCTGAGGGCCACAGATGGGTGCAAACGTGAGTCATCCCAAGGCAGATACTTCATTCCCTGCATTATACGCTCTTGTTATGTAACAGCCATTATCCAGAAGGTTTTGGGTCGTGCAGCCACTGTAAGAACATTATGTTAAATTTTTGTAGTAGTCCTTAGGCTTTTGCACCTCTCATATGCAATAAGATCTTATTATATTTTTGTTATTATAGTCCTTTTCAAACCATCTGATCCCAGGTACATCAAATTACCCATCATTCCCCTAAGAAACACAAAATCTGTGCTCCTCTTCATGCTATGTGTCCCCTTAGAATGTCAACATGAGCATCTTACTTTAAATCTTCTTGACGACTTATTTGACCACTCATAAATTGCCACCCTCCAAAAGTAATTATTCTCCCATTCAAGACCCTTTTGGACATTATGAGAAAAAAAATTCTGCAAAGAACAAAGACAATGCAATATTGCCTTGGGTATCTACTATTTAAAGTAAACAAAATATTAGCATACTTGTCTCGTTTTTTTATTGAAGGACTTTATATTCTCCTCCCTTTCTCCATGTGTGTATGTCTCCATAAACAATAGATAGTAATATTTTATAATATTATTGTGATAATATTTTTATGACCTACAATTTTCTATTTATATATCCAATAGCTTCAAAAGGTCGTAAGGACTATGAAGTCAGGTTCCATTTTTTGATCATCTTTTATGCTCAGAAACTAGCATATTGCTTATTAAGTGTTCCATTATAATCAAATAGAAAAATGAATGAATGAATGAATGAATGACTGAGAATACATTCATTCCTTGGGTTCTTTCTAGACATAAATCAGGCTAACTGCTAAAAAGAAAATACAGAGGTTATCACATAACCACATCAATCTGTGAATTATATATTAAACAGGATAGTCACTGAAATGTGTAAAACCTTAATATTTTGAGTAAAATCTATTATTGTATTTACTCTGGAATTCACATGGTTTATGTACTTTCCTTTTGAGAAAGAAAGTAGATAGGCTTTGTAGAGAGGATCCTAGAAGTTTTTATTATATCTCCATTATAATTAAGATTCAATATCTTATAATCCCTTTTAAGTGTTTAAAATTACTCTTTTCTAAAGGGAAAGTTCTACCAAAAATATATGTTGGTATCTTGGGCCAAGTTCATTAGAAGTAATTTGTAAGATGAAAATGCATGTGTAAGGGATTTATCAAAAAAGTGTTCTCAAGGGCAACTGTTAGGGAACAGAGGAAAGATTGCAAGGGAATAGAAGAAGTCCAAACGTGTCTTCATGAATTCCCAGTCTCAGCTTGATTCTACGGAGGAACTCTGGACTGTGGAATATACCTCAGGCTTATACTGAGGCAAGAAGATAGACCTTAACCATTTTAGCACCAGTCCTTGATTGCTTAAGGAGCATGCACCAGAGGGACATAAACTCCGGGCACTTCCAAGTCACTCTGCCTGTGGGCAAATGGCTCCAGTATCCTAAGAACTGTTCTCGGAGGAAGATTGTGAGCAGCAGGCATTAGATCCAAAACATACAGAAGGGCATGTGAGCACACGTTACCACAAGAGAATCGGAGACATTCGATGCGGAGCACCAGCAGTGTTTGCTACAACAGCGAGATGAAGTTAGCCGTAGTTTTATCATTGTTAGCAGGCATGGTGAATAATAGGTAACTGTTTAAATAAATTAAATAGAAACTACCTTCTTCATGAGCATACAATGTGAATATTTAAGTGATGATAAGAAGGTATTCGTATTGACATGAAAATATCTTTATGATGCATTATATGTGTAAAAGGAGGATAACAAGTATTATGTGTAGTATGATTACACTGAATTTTCATTTAACAATGTTACAGTAGAAATAGAAAAATATAGCCCTGGCTGGTGTGGCTCAGTGGATTGAGTGCCAGCCTGCGAACCAATGGGTCACTGGTTCGATTCTCAGTCAGAGCACATGCCTGGGTTTCAGGCCAGGTCCCTGGTTGTGGGGCACATGAGAGGCAACCACATATCGATGTTTCTCTCCCTCTCATTCTCTCTCCCTTCTCCTTTGTCTAAAAATGAATAAAAATGTTAAAAAAGGAAAATATCAATGGTGGGCTGACTCATACTTTCCATTATTTCTCTTCTGTTATTGTGTCTTAACATTTTTGTATACAAAATGTATTAGTTTCACAATCTTTTTATAATTTCATTTTGAAGTCCAGCAACTTATGTCAAGATTTAGAAACATGAAATAGACATGATTTTCACATGAGATTAAATCTGTAAATGCAGACAACACAGAAGAAAGTAATCTATTCAGGCTGGATTCTAAGATGTCATGACATATAGTAGTTTCTAATGCAGTTTTAATAAATACATGGGCATTAGGCAGGTACAACAGCTTGTAAAGGTCATTAGCCTGATGGATTAGTTTAAAATTTATAGGCTGAGTATAAATCCTTTTCCTACAGAAAAGACCCTACTTCTAAAGATGGAGTTTCCAAGTCCCTAACAGGATGATGGTACTATTATCTTTCTGGTTAAGAATTGATGGCAGTACTTTGGCCTCAAGATTAATGGCAGATGCTCTGGCATCTTAGAAGATGCCAATAGACACTTAGGAGATAGGTTCATATAGAGACTTAGTCCTACAATAGAAGCAACTGCACAGTGGGGAAAACTGTTGCTGTGAAGGAGCTGGGGCCATTTCTAAGAGCATCAGCCCTTTTGAGTAAATTAGTCTTGAAACTATCCTGCCATATTTTTCAGTAGGTATTATGGGGACAAGTGAGTTTTCCCAATTAAATTAACATGTCTGTTAAGCCTCAGTTCATTATAAGTAATAGAAAATTAAATTCCACCTCAAATCACCAAAAGAAACAAAGAATGTGGGTGCATATTCTTTGTGAAAGAAACAAAGACTGAAAAAAGGCAAAATTCATCGGGACAGCTGGAACAACGGGGTGCAGTTAAGGCTTTCAAGCTTCAGCTTTAATCTATTAGGCACTTTTTCTGTTTGCTTTGTTGCCCTTCAGGCTTTCCATTCCTGGGGCTGAGATCGCTGGCAAACGATCCAGAAACACACCCTATCTTTTCAGCATCTCTTAGCAGAAAGGACAGATTTCTTTTTCAACAGTAATTTAAAGTCTAGCAATTGAAC